AAATTCTTTTATGAACTTAAGGTTTTGAATTAAAGTGTTTTTAAAAAGAAATGTGTGCATTAATCGATACTTAAATTTTTTCAAAGAGCACATTTTCAAATTTATCATTGAGTGACGAAAAATCCACATTTTACACTAGATGCACTAAAATTGTAAACATAAAATAAAATACAGAGAATTGAAATAGACCAGTATTGATGTATCTGATACTTTGCACTTTATATTTTAAAGTACTTAGTAATTTGAACGAATTTAATGAATATATTTTTGCATCAATTCATTTCTATTATGTAAAAAATAACAATTTGTCAGAAATAACAATTTGTTTAAGTAAAAAATAACAATTGATATTTATCTGATACTGAAGCTATGGAGTTTTTATAGCTGATACTCAGTTGTATCAGTATCAGTTTGTAACTAGTACTGCTCAGTTTGTAATTGGTACCAAAAATTGTACTTATTCTTCTCTAATAGAGATCGTTAAAAAAGTTTATTTAATTTTTTCTTAAGTGAAAAATTTAAAAGTTCTAAGTATTAGGGATTTTATGGAACGGTTCGAAATGACTATATTTTTCTACACAATATTTCATAATCCTTAGCAGGAAGAATTCAAATAAGGTATCTTTGATTTCACAAAAATGTATGCTTTTAAGAACTTTGTATAATGAGATGTTTAGTCTTAAGACTTTTGAATTTTGTCATATTTCTTATTCAATTTATTTTTAAAGAAAGGGCAAAGGTTTGATATGCATTTGTAGATAATATGAATTTAAAAATAGATATTTTTACGATCTCGATAATTATTCGTATTTAACACTCTCACATTTATCTTTTTATTTATCTTCTTATTAATTTTGTTACTGATGATCCAAATAAAATTGAGATAAATGATTTTAAAACTTTAAAATTTTTTGAAAAAAAAATAAAGGGAAAGTAAATGTTTGACATATTTAGAGTGAATATAATTAATATGACTTTCGAAATAAATGTTTTTAATAACTTGATAACTTTTCGAATTTTACCCTGTCACATTTTTTAATATTCTACATAATAATATTCCATACGATTAACAACGATCTCCATACAATTCGTAATAGTTGATTCCCATTCCATAAGACAATAAATTTTAAAATATTTAATTATTAAAATTTCTCTCTTTCATTAAATTTATTTTTGAAGAAGAGGAAAAAGCTTGACCTGCATTCGCGTTTAACATGAATTTCAAAATAAATATTTATAAGATATTAATTATTTTTCTTATTTTACGATCACTTATTTTTGCTCATTTTTTTTAACGATGATACCCATAGAAGATGATTGCTATTAATGAAGACTAATTTCTTGCCGACATTAGGGATCCTTTTTGAATAGTTTTGAAAGTTTTTGTTCCTTTTGAAAGTTTTTGACTATAAATTTGTCAGAATTTTTTTCGGAGGGAAAAATTGGCAATAAAATGAATTCTAAATTTTCTTAATCATAAAATTTTCCGTAATTTAAATAAAATAAACATTTAAATAATTATTCTAAGAAAAGGAGAATAAAAATAATAAGAGCTTATAAGAATTGTTTAAATGAATATACAACTATTGTTGTTTTCATTTAAACAATAGGCCAAATATTGTTGTTTTCATTTAAAGACCTTTTTTTGTGAATTTGTGTAATTTATATAAAATAAATTTTTTTTAACCGTTTGCTTACGGCTGGTGCAATAAGTGGACCAGAATGGTTTCATTATGTTAAGTGCAGTAAGGAAAAGGTAATATTTGTGTATATTTTGAGAAGAAAAATTGAAATGGACTTTGAAATTAAATTGATAATTGAAAAATACCTAATTAATTTTGCTTATGAAGTAGGGGTTCTACCGAAAAGAGGTCGATCTTTGAGGTTCAGTAGCCAATTGGAAACCAATGCTTCAACATTCCTTTAATTCTTATTCTATTTTCTTAACAGTTTAACAGTATTTATGTAATATTAATGCATTTAGTGTTATTTGTAGGATTTTTGTTAAACAAAATAGCTGCATATTGAGCAAAATCTGCTCTAAAAGACAACGTTTTGAAATGCTTTTATCAAAAATTAAGAAAACACTCATTAAAAAAGATAATATAATCAAATGGAAACTATATCAGTTACTTACATACTTTTAAGTTTTTAAATAAGCTGGATCAAAATTATAAGAAATTTTTTTTTGCACACAATTGCAGCCAAAGGCAATTAGATGTAAAATGTTATTTTTTTAACTAAGGATAACTTTTTATCATTAAATTTATTAAAAGAACAAAAGAATGTTTTGAATTGTAAGACTTATAAATTATTGCAAAATTTCAATGTAGGTAATTTGTAAGAAAATATTTCGAAATTTGATGGGAATTGTTGCGAAACTAAAAATTTAAAAATACTACTATTGGAGTGAAAGTGAAATTTACATTTAAAGGTCTGAAAGTTCAACCGTCCTCTTAAATACACTATTACAACCATATATTCCAGAACTTTACATTTTAAAGTCGATTCCAACATTTATTTCTTTTATGCAATTATTCATCCATTTAAATATGGTAAATAGTGAGGAGGAAAACAATGGGATTGCAGTTTTGTTCAAAATTAGCTGACTTGAACATGCAGTGTCGTTCCTAACCGGATTGACTGTGTTTGTGAGAGGTATCTTGTCTATTGATTGATAACGTTTAAAAACAGGCAAAACAAAACATTTATTTTAAATAAAAAACAACAAAAAACAAAACAAAACAAAACACAGCATTCCAAAGATATTTCAAAAAGCCAATTCAACGATATTTCCAGTTCTCTCTTTTTTCTCTTGCCATACTCAGAGTAACCTACATATTTTGAATACTTTTGGTGGCGCAAACTAATTGGAGTTAGTGTTTGCCGCNGAAACATAGAAGGTGTTCCGTAATGAACACCCTTAATTTATATTTTTAGAATTGCTATTAAAAATGACGAAAAAATAAACCAAAGGGGTTGCAATTAAAAGAGATTAAAAAAGTATCAAAGTTTGTCGATTAACTAGTGAGGCAGGTATGAAAAAAAAACCCAGTTTGATTATAGGTTTAAATAATCTCGAGGTGGGTTTCTGATAATCTCCTCCATAAATCAAATCGGAATTTGAGTTTTTAATCTCCCTCTCATCAGTCTGGAAACAGTTATTTTTCTCATTTCATTTTTTCATATTTAAAAATTTTTTATGTAAGTATTAAGATTTATATCCAGCAACACTCAATCTCTAACTCTCTTGTTTTTTCTAAAATTATATTCGATCAATTTCTTTGTTTCTTTCATATCAAACCAAGCACGAGCTAATATAATTAAGGTTTCTAAGGAAAATGAATAAATGTTTCGATAACAATGTATACACATTCATTAATTGAAACAAAAAAGAAAGTACTCAAAATTACAATAACTCTAGAACAAATTATAATTTAGAAAAAACTCGCAAATAAAAAGAAAAAACTAAGTTCATTGTACAAAATAGCCCTTTCAACTTCTGTTGCATTTCAGCGGGTTGTAGATCATTCCACATGATATTTTTTAATCAAATTCAGCAGTTGATAGCTCTCCAACTAAATAAAGAATGTTAAATTTTTAATTCCATATTACAAAACGTGCATTTTTTCACACATGTCCATAAGTTCAAGGTTCTAGGCTTAGCTGTTTTTACGTAGCAAAATAAAATACCGCGCGAAGTTGAACACCGAAAAAAGTGGTGATGGTGGTAATTACAATTTCTTTTTAATGTACAGAGATTTTTGAAAATAATTCTAGAAGGCTGGATGAGGCGGGTAATTACAAAACACCCGGTATAGTGAGCATTTAGGATTATGCAAGCCTTAAAAACTTTTAATGGTGCTAATACTTTTTATTTTATTACTTATTTATTACTTTATAAGTTTTATTACTTTAATATTTTATTAGAAGTTTAAAGATATATCTGATAAGATCATTTAAGCTGCCACTATAGTGTTTAAAATTAATATCGCGGGATTACATTTGTATTTAGCTAGTCTCGTGTGTTGTTTTTATTACCACTTTTGTTTAATTAAAACCTCGGGCTCAAAAACTGAAAGTCCCGCAGTGGACTGATCGTTAGGACACGGCTCCCAGCAGATCACTGACGTCAAGCATCACTGGCTGCGGTCAGTGTGCGGATGGGCGACCACTTGGATCAGTCTGCGTAGGGACCGAGGATGTGCGGTATTGGTCCTCGTTAAACTGTTCTACCGTAAAGTGCAGGACTTCGCGTGCAGGTCGTTGGGCTACCGAAGAGGGTGTGCCATTCCCTCTGCAGAGGATCAAAATTGTGATGGCCTGTTTTCATATCATCCTCAGGGATGTTTTCTAGACCGTCGCCAATAGCCCATTGTTCAGCTCTAGTGCGACGTAAATGAACTACAACAACAACAAATATTGAAAACGCTCGTAAAAATCACGTTTTGGGGTCGAGTATTTTCCAAAATAAATATTTGATTCACACAATTTATGAATATTGTGAGTGAATTATTATTTTCTAACTTTTTACTGATTTGAGACACTTAATAAATAAAGAAATCGAAAATATTAATTTCTCTTCTTCTTTCTTAAGTGCAAACTGATAACAAATTTATATATTTCCAGCTTTCTGTTCATCATAAGGAGAGAAAAAAACAATGCACGTGTATTCTAGTGCAAATATCTTTTGATTAGTTCTATCTATCTATCTATCTATCTATATATTAGGTGTATTATTTATTTATATATTAGTTATATTTTAAGCGGTATTTACATTTTAAAATAAATATTTCAAGCCTATCTATGCCCTTAAGACTAATTTGTAACGTGCAAAGTATATACATTTGAGACCTTTTTTTATGGGATTTCAAAATTCCTCATGTTTTCATAATTAGCTTGTTAAAGCTAAAATTAAAATTTTTCTGGTCAATATTAGTTTTTAAAACTTTTTTTTATACTGTTCAAGATGTTTACATACAATAAATAAGCACAAAAAGTAAATTGCAAAATAATTTATTTTCATGCTATTTTTTTACAAAATTTAATATCCATATCTGGCGTAGCCCAAGCCTCCTAAGATACCCAAACCATAACCACCATATCCACCATAAGCTCCTCCATATCCAAGATTTCCATATCCACCATAAGCTCCATCATATCCGAGGCCACCGTAACCTGCTCCAAGACCTCCATAACCGTAACCTAAACCTCCAACACCATATCCTGCACCGATGCCTCCATATCCGTAACCTAGACCACCAAGACCGTAACCGGCTGCTGCAGGGACACCCAAATATCCTTCACCACCGGTGTAAGGGGCATCAGAAATCAGTTGAACGGCAGCTGGATTTTGATTGGCTGTTCCGGGTTCATTGGTCTTGACCTGTGCTCTGAATCCAGCATGATCAGCAACGTAGTTGACTTGTCTTTTGATGCCTCTGTCATCTGTGAATCCGTAGCTGCCAGTTACGTGTCCTCCGGTTCCGGATTCTTCTCTGTGTTGTTCTCCATGTTTGTCCTTGATGCTGTATCCGAATTTATAAGGTTTGGGTGCATGGTGAACTGGCTGAAATAACATAATAATAATTAAATAGGATAATTTTAGTAGTTCTGTATTAGCAATTTTTGTAAAGTATTTTTAAGTTTTTCACAAATGCTATGAATTTAAGTTTTGAACATGCCCTTTGTTAATGTTGGGATTGGGTGCATGATGTACGGGTTATATTAACAGAAGAAAAAATATGGCATTATTGATCATGCGCACATAAAATCATAAAATAGCTGTATCTGTATTTATGTTCAATTTGTTTCTACTTTGGTACTATAAGCTCACATTTATTAAGAAAATATTATTCTATAATTGTTCTCTGGATACGTAATTGTATCTGTATGTTTATATATCTCATAATTGTATCCTTATTGTATTAACATGATATGTGAGGTGTTTATAAATAAAACTCTTCTGAATCAGTAAAGATTCTGTTTTCAGACCTGGTAAATTTCCAGGTATTTAGTCTGAGATTTATTTCAAATTTTTCAAATATCGGCAAAATATATGCTTTAATATTTGATTTAAGATGATTTTGACAGTCGTGATATTTGAAATATTCAAGGTATATGCAGAGGCTTTCATAAATTCAATCGACAAATTTAAGGATTCATTATGGCTGCTTGAAATCCATCTGGCTTCAGATCGATAGATATTAGCTTGTCTGAGAAGTTTATTTGGCTGGTATGCAATATTGTTCCCATATCCAAAATCATGCCGTTGATCTCGAAATTGTGAAGCTTTAACTTCCACGAACTTTTTAATAATGAGCTTTTTACTATTTATAAAATGCAGTGATAAAGAATTACATTAATTGATTTTGTTTTATAAGAGTCGTTGAACAGCCTACCTAATGTTTGGCTTACGACTACTAATATTTAACTCCGTATCCTTGTAATTTAGAGCCCAATCCAGAAGACAAGGGAACTCCTGGATCAAGTATTGGAAGAAACTTTGCCCTCGAGGCGAACTTGCATTAATTAATGAAATAAAAGAATATGCATTTTTTTAAGTATGATTGATAAGAAACAAATGTTATCTTTTTACTTTTCATTTTCAAGCAAGGGCTAAAAGGGATGTTTAGCAATCAAAATTCCAAGTTCGAATCAAGTATGCGAAACTTGAAATGTTTGGAGGATTCTATTAATCTTGAAATTTGGCATGCTGTAATGATTACAAATAGCGATGCTTTTACTATCTGTATTTCGGTTTGGCAGATTAATTTTGAATTTAAAAACAAAACATCTAAATTATAGCTGGGGAGAAAATTTCTTTAAAAGTACTCGGTTAAATAAGTTAAAAATAAACATGGAAAAGGGAATGGGATGGGCTTTAAACAAATTAAATGTTGATGCGTTTTACTGATCGTTTAAAAATAGAGTAATTAACAATAGACAATAATATAGTAATTAAGATAAAAAATTAATAATGGAGTAATTAAAAATAGACTTTTAAGGAAACTAAATGAAAAAATATGTCGGAACATTATTTCAATAGGATGAAAGTCTTTGGCCGATTAACTAATTGTTGAGAGACTATTATCTATCTTCTATCTAAAGACTATCTTCATTAAAACTTTGAAAAAGTGTTTAAGTTATGTCGTTTTATGATTAAGATGAACAAAAATAATTAACACTCTAAATAACGTTTAAGATCTGAGTAGATTAAATTATTATTGTTGCTTTTTGCATTGAACTCACCTCGTGCAAGTTAGCAAGAGAAACAGTTGCCAAAGCAGCTAAGAGAAAGACCTACAAATGAAAAAAAATTTAGCTTGGTTCTGAAAAGTAATATTGAAAAATCATTATTAATATTTCATCTTCAATTTAATTCAATTATTAAGTTTTATTTTAATGATGGGATTTTTAATGAACAAGACTGAAGAACAAACTCAAAGATGATTTGTTTATAAGATGATGAAAACATCATAATATGGTTCTCGCAACTCGTTATGCGCACAGATTCTCTAATCCAGTTGTTCCCAAATGGTGTTCCACGGAGCCGTAGTTTTGCGAGGAACACCACAAGATTCCGATTGTTAACATATTCAATCATTTATGATTTTCGAAACCTGCCATTAAACTTATATAACTTAATTACTGATTATTTATTAAATATTTCCATTATTTTAATGCATTGTTTAATTAAAATGCCTCTAAAGAAAGAGAGTAAAATTAAAAATGTGTTATCTAACAATAATATATTGAATGAATAATGAATAAGAAAAGCATATCAGTCACGAGATTATGGCTTCCACCAGAGTAATAATCCGATGCATAATTGTCATAACACTGTAGGATAACTTATAACTCACTAAGAATACAATTACAGGGGCAAAAGCTCGCATAAGTGTTTAATTATTGTAACAATATTATAGCACAGAGCCCCGTACTTGATTACTTCTGTTTCATGGGGATGGGAGCCAGTTTACAGCTGTGTCCAGAGACTTCAGTTGAAGGAAAAAGACTGTATTTTAATATAATACATCAATTCTACAATAACCTTAAGCATACAGATATAGAAATATATATTAATATCAATATACGTTATAACAATATGCAGCAACTATGAAAATAATAATTTATGGATATAGATTTCGTGGCTAGTACAATGCATAATTTTACTTTTTCTTCAATTTTCCAACTGACAACAAATTCACTTTGTCTCTAATCTATTTAATAGGGCTTATATCATTAATAAATAAGATTAATGACATTCATGAAATTTTTAGTTTTTTTCTCACAATTTTGCCGAAGCTATCTATTACATAATTTGAAATAACCAGAAATGGAACCCCTTTGTGGATCTGCTAAGCACCATAGGAAACCTGTCAGTTGAAAATGCTTATAGAAACTACTTCAAAGTGAAGTGGGTATTTTCTTCTCCTAACTACAACTTTAGTTTTTAAAATTACATGCAATAGTTACACGATTTCAGATTCAAAAGTCATTATTAATTATGGTTGAATGAGCGTCTTAAATCTTTAAGATATCTATTATTTATTTATTAGCCAAATTTCTATCGTATCCATTTCTATATTAGCCTAATATCTATTTTTTATTTATTAGCCTAATTTTATACATACACAATTTAATAAACCATGAAATTTACAAGAAGAAATTATTTAGCATTATAAAATGATTTAAGTAAGCTATAGACCATTTAAATTTTTACAACGTTAAGTAATTTTAATATAACTATTTTTTTTCAAAAACATTTGAAAATAAAATGCATTATTAAATAAAACACTTTCATAAAAACTTAAATAAATTTATTTTACCTGAGCGATCATGTTGATTACTTGAGTTTGATATGAATAATGCTGTTTGATATTGCGAGTCGTATTTATATGAATGGTCGAAATTGAACTTAATTCGTTCCACAAGTAGGAATGAGAGGAATTTTTCACACTTGATTGATTGATTATTTTGAGAACGTTGATTAAGAATGATAAGATGCCTTTGTATGGAAATAAAGTATATATTGTGAAATGATCGGTTACTATTTGCAGTTGCTAAATTTAATATCTCTACTCAATAATTCTATGAAGTAATAATTTCAAATTCTTTCATGAGCTTAAGGTTTTGAATTAAAGTGTTTTTAAAAAGAAATATTTGCATTAATCGATACTTAAAATGTTTTTAAAGAGCACATTTTCAAATTTATCATTGAGTGACGCGTTAAGACTAGATGCGTTAAGTTTGTAAACATAAAATAAAATACAGAGAATTGAAATAAGCCAGTATTGATGTATCTGATACTTTGTGCTTTATATTTTAAAGTACTTGGTCGTTTGAACGAATTTAATGAATATATTTTTGCACCAATTCAGTTCTACTGTGTAAAAAATAACAAATTAAGACTGATATTTATCTGATACTGAAGCTATGGAGTTTTTATAGCCGATACTCAGTTGTATCTGTATCAGTTTGTAACTAGTATTGTTCAGTTTGGAATTGATATCAAAAAATTATACTTATTCTTCTCTAATAGAGATCGTTAAACAAGTTTCTTTTCTTTTTCTTCAAGTGAAAAATTGAAAATGTTTAGGTATTGGGGATTTTATGGAACTATTCGAAAGTACTATACGTTTTTTCCATGCAATATTTCATAATCCTTAACAGGAAGAATTCAAATAAGGTATCTTTGATTTCACAAAAATGTATGTTTTTAAGAACTTTTTATAATAAGATGGTTAGTTTTAAAACTTGAATTTTATTATATTTTTTTATTCAATTTATTTTTAAAGAAAGGGTAAAAGTATGATGCGCATTTGTATTTAATATGAATTTAAAAATAGATATTTTTACGATCTATACGATCTATATCGTATTTAACTCTCTCACATTTATCTTTTTGTTTATATTTTTATAAATTTTGTTACTGATGATCGTCATGCGATTGATTACGATCCAAGTAAGATTGAGATAAATAATTTTAAAATTTTAGAATTTTTTCAATAAAAAGTAAAGTAAATGTAAAAGTTCAGCATATTTAGAGTGAATATAATTAATAAGACTTTCAAAATAAATGTTTTTAATAACTTGATGACTTTTCATATTTTACCATGTCACATTTTTTTATAACTTTATTTAATAATATCTCCATACGATTAATACGATCTCCATACGATTAATAACGATCTCCATACGATTCATAATAATTGATTCTCATTCTATAAGACAATAAATTTTAAAATTTTTAATTATTAAAGTTTTTTTTTTTCATTAAATTTATTTCTGAAGAGGAGGAAAGAGTTTGACCTGCATTCGCGTTTAACATGAATTTCAAAATAAATATTTATAAGGTATTAATTATTTTTCTTATTTTACGATCACTTATTTTTGTTCATTTTTTAACGATGATACCCATAGAAGATGATTGCTATTAATGAAATCTAATTTCTTGCGACATTGGGGATCCTTTTTGAATAGTTTTGAAAGTTTTTGATCCTTTTGAAAGTTTTTCACTATAAATTTGTCATAATTTTTTTTCGGAGGGAAAAATCGGCAATAAAATGAATTCTAAATTTTCGTAATCATAAAATTTTCCTCAATTTAAGTAAAATAATCATCTATATATATATTTCTCTTACAGGGCGACAAAAAAAGGGCTTCATTACAACTCCCCGAATGGCAACGCTAGAAAATCGACCATTGATTGCCGCTAAAAATGTCACATGCCAAATCTAGCTGAGATGGCTCAACATATAGCGCTTTTAAAAACGCAAACTGAAATAACCAGAGAGAGCATAAGCTAGGCAGAAGTGAGTAGTCTTTGTCGATAGATCTCTATTTTAGTATTTTGTCGAAAGCGCTTTTTTTCACGAATTTAAAAATTATGAATTTATTTGACGATTTTTGATTTATATCACGAATTTATTTGTTTTATTAGAATTTATTTGTTTATGCAGGTTTTTCCATTTGCAATTCAGTTATTTCAATTTTTAATAGACTTAATTATAGCCAAAATTTCAACCTTTTTAAAGAAATTTCAGTTTTAGAAACTTTATCTTAAGATTTTATACTATAGCGCATTTCTAATAGGTTTAACGAATTACATGTCATTTATTTGAATTCAAATTTATTTTAATGACTTAGTATTTACTAAAAAGGTGTAATTTTTTTTTAAAAAGTTGTTATATGGATTTGAATGATTGTCTTGAATTCTTAAAATTTTGTGCATTTGCAATGCACCTAAGTTAGTAGCGAGCAAACCATATAAGATTCGTAGCAATTTTCGGGGGTTGGCGAGTGTTAGCGAGCAGCGGGAGCAGCCAACTAGTTTAAATAATTATTCTAAGAAAAAGAGAATAAAAATAATAAAAGCTTATAAGAATTGTTTAAATGAATATACAACTATTGTTGTTTTCATTTAAACAATAGGCCAAATATTGTTGTTTTCATTTAAAGACCTTTTTTGTGAATTTGTGTAATATATATAAAATAAATTTTTTTTAACCGTTTGCTTACGGCTGGTGCAATAAGTGAACCAGAATGGTTTCATTATGTTAAGTGCAGTAAGGGAAATGTAATATTTGTGTATATTTTGAGAAGAAAAATTGAAATGGACAATAAAATTAAATTGATAATTGAAAAATAGCTAATTAATTTTGCTTATGAAGTAGGGGTCCTACCGAAAAAAGGTCGATAATTTGAGGTTCAGTAGCCAATTGGAAACCACTATTTCAACATTCCTTTAATTCTTATTCTATTTTCTTAACAGTTTAACAGTATTTTTGTAATATCAATGTATTTAGTGTTACATGTAAGGTTTTGTTAAACGAAATAGCTGCATATTAAATAAAATCTGATCTAAAAGTCAAAGTTTTGAAATTATTTTATCAAAAATTAAGAAAACACTCATTTAAAAAATGGTATTATCAAATGGAAACTTTATCAGTTGCTTACGTACTTTTAAGTTTTTAAATAAACTGGATCAAAGTTATAAGAGTTATTGGCTCTATAAGAAGAAGCAATTTTTTTTTTATAAAAAGTCTACTAAAACCTTCTGAATGCAATATATTTTATGTATCTATGTTTTTCACATCTATATCAGCTTTCGCACCGACCATAGTGGTGACGTAAAATATCCTCAGTGGTAGACGGATTGGGGGTTAGAATTACCTTGCTCTTGGTTTAACCTTGGGTGGTTTTTGTGGTTTTCCACTCAATGAAACGAAAATGTGAGTTTACATCAAAAAGTCCTACATGAAGGCTAGTTTGTCCCAATGCTTGTTCCTGGACTTATTTTGTCTTCCTTCTTGAGTTCAAAATTACAAGGTTACTGAGTTGAACACTTATAGTCGTTAGTTCAGAATTAGTCAGCACTCGCATTGCTGTTCAACGGCAGGCTATAAAATAAATTAAAATTTATTTCAGATTAAACTTATAATTTTTCAAAATTTTTTATTATAAAGCTGCCATTTTTTTAAAAAAACAATCAAATATTTGAAAATTTTAGAGCTCCTTTTTGCTTTTTTCAATACCTAGATTTCTTTTAAAAAAATATATTTTATAATACATTTCTTACAAGTTATTCTTTGACACAGATTGTCATTAAGATTGCAATTCTTAACCCTTTTCGAGACTGTGGTTAGTATACCTATCGCCAAGTTCAGTAATATTAAATGTTCACGATAAACTATTTTACCATTTTATTATTTGTGCCTCTGGCTGTTAAGAACTTGTTGTGCTGTTGAACATTTCTGGCTGTTGAACATTTTAAGGAATATATACTGGAACTGTTTTTTGTATTCTACTAAGGCTTGTCGATAGAAAACAAAGCATATGTGCACTATTAGTCTTGAACCATAATGTGTTTCTCTGTGTCTTCTCAAAATTTCAGGAAAGTAAATTTTATATAATTAATTATATGCTTTTGAAAATTTGAGCGAAAAACAGTAAAATATATAAGAAAAGTTTTACTTGCTAAATGATTTTCTTTTTTTTTTAAAACTTTGTTACTCCCTTAATCCTTATAAAATGTATTGAAACGATCTTGTTAAAAAAATATGAATAAGAAATACGGACTATTTATTGAATTTTGTTTCATAAAAAAAGTTATTTTTCTCCAAGGCGATTTTATCGGTTAGTGGTACTTGACACTGTAATGAGTTTCAGCCAAATATCTCTCTCCCCGTCACCTTTCCTGTAAAACGACACTAAATAAAAGGCAAGAAAAATTGTTAGCCTTCAACAGGATTGTCGCCAATCTGAATATGAAGATGAAAAAAAATAAAAACTTCAACGACGAGGATAAAAAACAAGATCGAGGGGAAAAAATTGCGTTCGTAAAACTCAGCTGGGTTTATTTTTACTCATCCTGGCATTTTCAAGAGCGTAAATTATTATTATTTTTTGGTTATTTTTCTCTAAGAAGTTTCTCTTTTCGATGGAATATTATTCGAATATCTAGAGCAACATGGTGAATGTTGCCAAAAACTATGGATCGTCAACACAGCATCTCCATGGTTCTCTTCATTGGTAAGTCAAATTATGAATTTGACTTTCATTTTGTAATTTTCATGGTCAAAACTATAATATATTGAATTTATTGTTTAAATGTTATGGGTAGGCTCTTTTAATCTATTTTTTGCACACATTCGTTTACTAGATTTTTACACATGTTTTTCTTTTCTTTTTTTCGTTTTTTAATAAATAAAAATGAAAAATATTTATTTATATTAGAAAATGAAAAAATATTTATTTATATCTATTATCGAATTTGAAGTCTTTCGAATAAAATTCTTTCATACTTTATTACATTATGGCAATATCGAACTACTGCGCATCAATCTGTAAAATATGATCAGACGCTTAAAAAGTATTTGTACAAAAGTATATTATAAAATAATGCCTTTGGAAGTTAATATTTGACGTAAGTCTAGATTTCTGAAGAACTTCCTTATATGCGCAACAATTCTATGTACGAAGTTGGCTAGAAAAAATTCGAGTCTATAAATCTAGTCTATGATCACGTAGAATGAACAGAGTAGAATATATGAATAAGGTAGAATATGTATAAATCAATGAATAGGGTGGAATATATATGAATCTATGAGGGTAGAGAATATAAGAATAGTGTAGCGTGAACATGGAATTCGAAGCTGAACTGTTATAATTCTCTTTTTTGTCAGTCAAAATTTAAATAAAATCTTTTAGCAGATTCGCTAAACTATTTTAATATAGCACTTGACAAGACAATACATTTATGGTAGAAAAATAATTATTTATTATACTCTCCAATAACTATTTTGGACCATCTGTATTCCTTACTCGGTGAATACCCATCCTTCGTAATGTAATGTAAAGCAACAACAAAACAGCAACAACAGCAACAACAACAACTAATAAATTCTGATTAATCAACACTAAACGAGAAAAAAAATTAAAGACGTATTCTAGCACAATTAATTGAATTAAACTAATGTAATTTTAATTTGTCCTACCAGGTGATTATACTTATTAGATTAAGCAAAACGCACTTTTAGATGTCCAACTCCTCAAAATAAAATTTAATTATACTCAGTAGCTTTAAAAAGCAAAAAATAAAGCTGTTGATCGCAACCAAAAATGAAAGTCCGAATTTTCTACAATTAAGCAATTTTCTCTCTTGATAGTCTGCATCGTAATTTTTTTAAAATTAAAACTACACTCATTTTTAAATTATTTAGTTTCACAGAGACACATTTCAAAAGCGTATATATAAACAAAATAAACACGTGATTTCTCACGTGATTCAGATAACTTTAGAAATACTCATTCGATAACGTAGCCCTCACTTGTGCTTACCTGACGCAATGAATAGTCAATAATTTATTTTACGTGCTATAAAGCTCATGTAATTTAATTTTGTAGCAATATCTAATGCTACATCCATGCGAAAAATGCATTTTTCAACCATCTTGTCCAAAGAAACTAGTTAAAATTTTTTAACGATTTTTAAAATCGGGGACAAAATTTGCTCCTTACACCTACCAACAGATTTTAGGATGATAGCGCAAACGGCTCATAAATTATAAGATGCTCAGGCACATAAACTCTTCCTTTTATTAGTATATCTCAATAATAAAAAGTCCTAAGCGCAGCCACTACTGTTTTGTGTGCTCAACTTAACGTTATATTTTGTTTAGCTGCTCAAAAACTATTTGATTTAGAACTTTGAATTTCCGTAGTTGAATAGAAAAATATATAGGGAGTACGATGATATAAAAAAAATTTACAATTGATAATTAATTTGATAATTATTAATTGCTGAACTTGAAGTAAAGAAAATATTACGAGTAAAAAAATATTAAGAATCTACAACCCTGTGAAAATGCAATAACAGAATTGAAATTCAACGTCTGAAAGGGCCATTTTTTGAAATTTTATATAATTTGAATGTTATTGCAATTTCGAGTGCTTTTTCAATAATTTTGCTTTAAATAATATTCATTTATGTAAAGATACGCTCATATCTTTAGATAAGGATATGTTATGTTCATTTGTCTAAAGATAAATTTATGCAATAAATGAATTTTAGTAAATATTAATTATTTTTTGTAATTTTCTTTAATAATCGTCGAAAATTTTTTTAATTGTAAGACATGAAATCTTTACCTCATTTAAAGGAATATAATTTTAATATGAAATTTAAGCGAAATCGGCTGAAAAGTTTCAAAGAAATCGAATTTTAACAAAAGTTGTATTTTTAAAATTATCCATATTAAGTTTCTTTTCTAATTCATTCTAGGCTCCTAAAATTACTACCAGATTTTATTCGCTTCGTTCGCAATCATCCCGATCTCACATCACCCGAAGATTGCGAACGCTAATGATTCATTTTTGTTTTTTTGATAACACAGAGAAGTATTACATCAAACATAAAAATTATTCAATTTAAATATCACTGAATGGTTTATTATATTCACATTTATTTATTGTATGTCCTAAAATTAATTCTGTATTGACTTAGTTAATTTGTTTATTTATTTTCACAGATTTATTTCCCGATTTTATTGGAATAAAATTTAAGCATATCCATTTTAATCAGTTATTATACTCTTTGCTTATATAATGGGCCTGTTGTCATGGCTTCTTAAAATCTCGATTTTCCAAGATTTGTCGAAACCATGGCTAATCAGACGAGAAAAGTGTGTTGAAAGGTGAAATCTCGAAACCTTAAAACGTTTAGTCTTTAAACGTTATTTTTCTAAAATCAATTTTTTAAGTAAGTTATTTGAAATTCGATTTTACCGTTGTTATTATTAGGGAAGTGAAGAAAAAACAGTTGTCAAGCAACTTTTCTCGAAATTCATCGCACCCGTAGTTTTGGTAATATTCGGTCGTGTCTAAAATGTCTTTTAATATTGAACATCAGCTGTTATAATATTTCTAATAAATATTTTTGATAATGTTTTTAATTAGTTACAGTTGTTGTTTTTAGCTTTTTTGATTGCAGATATTGGAATTAAAAACAACTAAAAATTGTTTTGCAAAATAATTTATTTTCATGCTATGTTTTTTTACAAAATTTAATATCCGTATCTGGCATAGCCCAAGCCTCCTAAGATGCCCAAACCATAACCACCATATCCACCATAAGCTCCTCCATATCCAAGATTTCCATATCCACCATAAGCTCCACCATATCCGAGGCCACCGTAACCTGCTCCAACACCTCCATAACCGTAACCTAAACCACCAACACCATATCCTGCACCGATGCCTCCATATCCGTAACCTAGACCACCAAGACCGTAACCGGCTGCTGCTGCAGGGACACCCAAATATCCTTCACCACCGGTGTAAGGGGCATCAGAAATGAGTTGAACGGCAGCTGGATTTTGGTTGGCGGTTCCGGGTTCGTTGGTCTTGACCTGTGCTCGGAATCCAGCATGGTCAGCAACGTAGTTGACTTGTCTTTTGATGCCTCTGTCATCTGTGAATCCGTAGCTACCAGTCACGTGTCCTCCGGTTCCGGATTCTTCTCTGTGTTGTTCTCCATGTTTGTCCTTGATGCTGTATCCGAATTTATAGGGTTTGGGTGCATGGTGAACTGGCTGAAATACGATAATAGTAATCAATTATTATAATTTTGGTATTTTGTTATAGCAATTTTTGTAAAGTATTTTTACGTTTTTTACAAAGGCAATAAATTTAAGTTTCGAGCACGCCCTTTGTTAATGTTTTAAACATGTTTAAGTCGAACAGTTGCCACATCGAATAATTTTACTTCAAAAATATTTAGGAAAGAAAAACCGAGTACTTTAAACTTTTTACTTCGTGTACAGTAAAAACACAAACTTTTTAGACCTGGATCAACAAGGTTGTGGATCAACAAACCTGGATCAACAAACAAATTTGCCACAATCAAGTAATTACGGACTCTCAGACACAAGGCCCCGAGTTGCGAGCGATTAGGGTGTCTCAGCTGAGGTGATGAATTGAGGAGTGCTATGAGTGAGTAAGCACATTAATTATTAATAATGAATGCTAAATACAAGTGTCTGGGTTAGATTGGTAATTATTCTAGCTAGGCTTAAAATAATAAAAGTACCAGGTCGAGCATTTAAATGAAAAGTATCACAGAGATTAATTGAAACGTTGTCTTTCTGTTTTAGACAGCAAAATTTAGGTGCCACAACGAATGTTCGAAATGCCGGTTTTCTTGCTCAAACTTGAAAGATAGCTTTTAATAGGCTCTACTACAATTTTTGTGTTTTTGTTCGACAAACGAGGAAACTTTATGTAGTTTCTTTTAGTTCTTCTCGCCCAAAAGGGAGAGTTTACTAGCTCTTTCTTATTTCTGGACTAATCTAGTTGTCTTGAAGCAATTAACCTACCTTATTCTTGTAAATAATTAAGTAAAAAACATCCATTAAGGGAAGCAAATTAATTATCAAGAATGGAACCAAAATGCATACGAATATAAAAGTGATACTGAAGAATCAATAGGGGAGAAATCATAAGAAATACTCCATGCATATGGTATTTCCAAATGAGATATTTCTTTAGGCAATCAAACTGGTTTTGAAGTTATTTCTTTTAGTTTAATTTAGTCTTATATGTCGCCTTTTATATTAATCTTGAATTCTAAATGTTTTGCTTTTATTCAGTCTTCCCCACCAATAATTAGACATATTTTTAAAGTGTTTTTGCTTGTTTGCCACCTCGGATGTGCATATTTGTTTTTGATTTCAGTCTTAAAAAGGATTCTAAATTGAATTCTGAAAAGGATTCTAAAAGTAAATATTAAGGCAAGTCATTCTAGTTTTCCAACGAAAACAAAAGATTTTCATGAACCGATTATTAAATTAGTTTTTTCTTGCCATGGATTTTATTAATTTAATATTAATAACACATAATAATATTGAAAAAAAAAAGACAGCATTGATGTTTATGAATTAGCAACACTATTCTAATGTTTCTGAAAATTTAAAAGCGGATTTTTATTTAGAGATAAATCAATTCATTTTCCACTATGTTTATCAACTAATTATAAACTCTTAGTGATATTAAAATGTTTATATATCCAAATAGAAAGCATCATTGAACTTACCTCATGTAGGTTAGCGAGCGCAACAGTTGCCACAGCAGCTAAAAGAAATACCTAAAAATAATAGAACATATCAGAATCTATATAGGTGAACATTTAAAAACCAAATTGAAGCTGTTTTATAGAAGGTACTGTTTTAACACGAAGTAACTTTCTTTAGAATATGGCTATTTTCATAACTGTTATGAGTCTGAAACAGTTATTCATGGCTGTTAGGTCAATTTTAATCAATTTTTAGACATCGTCCTCTACACCCTTTATGAAATTGAGGCAAAACGTCAGTATGTAGAAAAACACCATAGTTTAATGGAAATGAAAAGCGTTTGTGATCGATTTTCTTGAGCGCTTGAGGAGATTTTCTTATAACGAATAAACATTCGATTGAATCAAATATTGTCTATTGTGGTCTAATAACTTTTGTCACTTTTCTGGCAGTTGCATGGTTTCACACCCATAAAATTTTTGTTCTTTTCTGGAAAAAACTGATAAACTGATCAAGTAAGGTGATTTTTGATCACCTTATTTGAAGTTGGTGATTATCGACAATGTCAATCTCTATTTATGAAAGGGTATCCCAACATAGAACCAAGTTAATATGTCTTATATGCTAATAAATTGGGATTGTAGTGGGAATGACTCTACAGTACTTCCCCACCAGAATTTTATCTGAGATAAAATTCGTAGAACGGATACCCCTAGTGAATTCATTGCTATTTCGTGAGAAACCGGGAGAGCTGTATTAAGATTACCCGACTTTCAGTGTTGATTGTGAGAGCTGTATTAAGTTCACGGTCATGGTCCTTCCTGTGTTGCCATTAGTAGTCGAGTGCATACAGGCAACAGCGTGATGAGGACAATGTCGTAGTAACAAATAGCAAGTCAACTGCTCAATGTGGATCATCTATCGAAGTAGGCGTGCTCAATTTACTCCTGTAAGTAATCAATGTAGGGCGAGTGTTATCGACAATGTCAACCTTTATTTATGAAAAGGTACCCCAGCATAGAATCAAGTTAACATGTCTTATATACTAGTGAATTAGAATTGAATAATTGTCGTGGTAGGCGCGATAGCTACAACAATGTAGCTATCGCAACATTGTTGTAGTTAACCTATTTCTCTTTCTTAGTGATAATGCGCTTCAAAAATGGAAAATTTTCTTGATGTATAAGGAGCAAATCACAGACGTTAACGTGACATCACATATTTCTTTCCTTAAAAACGTGATTTATCCATGTTGTCGAGCTTTAAGATTATACCTTAGACTTTTCAAATGATCATTAACGATCGAATTCAATAAATTTAGTGTCCCAGCGATTTCACGAGTTGTTCTTTGCCGGTTTGCATCTATTAATCGCTTTATTGCGTCTTCATTTGCTTAAATTGGCGTGGAGCATCATCGTGCATCTCCACTGAAGTTAAATCGAATAAAAATTTTGCAAAACAATTTTGACATCGACGTTCTGCTAAAACATCTTTTTCGCACACAACATCTTTTTCGCATCAGATAAGTTTTTTTTTTTGCTTGAGCAGCATTTTTATTTTTTCGCAAAAGTATGTTTTACCCATAACAAAAAAGTAAAACTTGCCAAAAATTCCGCTTTCCATATTTGAAATGGAAAAAACAATTTATTTACAATTAATGAAAAACTAAATTATTATCTGTTTTTTAAAGAAGGTTATAAAAAATAGTTTTTCGAAATTTATTTAAATTTCTTATTGTCATTTATGCTTAATTTAAATTTTTGTTTGAAATCACATTTTAATATCCATTATATATTTTTTTAAAAAAAATCATTGTTTAAAAAACATTGTTAATTTGAATTCCAAGCAGCCAAGCTTTCAAGTCATTTTCTAATAAATTTCTTCTATTTTAGATTTTTTTAACTCCGATATTTTTTTAAAAAAAATAATAGTTCAAGCTTATCTGGGCGGTAGTTGTCTGTATAGCTTTAAAAGTTCTCTTCAAAATTAATGATGAAGTGTAGTAATCAATTTATAATTCGGCTTAATATACCTAATGACCTAATATTCAAAGAACCTTTTCAGTTCAAATACTCAGCACCACCTCACGAAAACAAGTATTAACTTGACATAGCATATTAATTTATATGTTGGTTTCAAATTAATTTAAACTAAACATAGTAATATTAACGGTAAAAAAACTATTAATTTGAAAAATAGATCTTACCTGAAATGACTTAAGAATTTCAACTAATAGGTTTACATTAAATTCATTTCAATATTATAACAGAAATGCTAACTGTAAAAAAACTGTGAGTTTAGAAAATAAATTTTATAAGAAATAAATTAACGATTTGACCTAATATGTTAACAGGAAATTAATTTCAATATTATACAGAATTTTTTTCTCCCCATTTCCAATGGCCGATATTGCAGAGCATCACTACACTACAAAAGAGAACAATTTAAAACCCGCAAAATAGCATAAAAAAAGAGGCTTGATGACAGAAAAGTCTTATGAACCAAGAATGTCCCTTGAGCTCCAGTTTATACAAAAATATTAACTGAATAAAAATTAAGAATTTGAAAAAGTTGATATTATCGGAAGTTAGTTAATAACTCGACTTTCTATGTTAACTTGAAATTAATTTCAATGCAGAAATATTGACTGTAATGGAAAATATTTTAGGTTAGTTAATGACTCAGCCTAACACATTAACTTAAACATCATTTCAATACTATACAGATATATTTCTTTCATTTCCAAAGGCCAAAGGTACAGAACATCACTGTACCACAAAAGAGAATATTATTAAAATCGAAAAACAGCACAAAAGAAAAAAGAAATAAGAGACTTGGTGACAGAAGAGCCTATGAACAAGAATTGCCCAAAACACCAATTAATACAGAAATACTGACCGAAATCAAAAAACTAAAAATTTAAAAAAATTTATGTTACTGAAATTTAATTAGTAACTTGACTTACTATGCTAATTTGAAATTAATTCATGAGCTATACGGAAAGCACATTAGCAATATAAAACAAACAAAGTAAATATTGAAAAAGCTGATCCTACCTGAGCGATCATGTTGAATGTTTGAAATCGATATGATTGTATTGAATGAAAGTGAAATGCTGTATTTATATATCTGATGGCAATAGAGCTCGAATATAGAAATGGATTATAAATTTCACACTTGACCGATTTATTGTTCCGGAGACAAGGATTAAGAAGTTATGAGAAGAGAATATCAAATAAGGTCCATTATGAAACTATTTCCAGGTTAATATATTCAAATATGGAAGTTCTCGTTGTTTTGATGCAGTGAAGCAACAATAACAAATTCTTTTAAAAATTTAACGTAATATTTTCAAAAATAGAACAAAAAGTTTAAAAAAACATGTTATTTTTTTCTGTATGATCAATAAATTTAGCTGTGAAGTTAGAATTTTCGCTTGAAAATTATGATAAAATAACCGGCTGCAGTCTGTCCATCTAATTAATTATAAAGTTTACGGTACGGAACATTTTTTACCTTTACGGTTTAGAAATTAGTTTGGTTAAAAGACCATAAAAACAAAACTATACGGTTTTTTAACCATTTAAAACTAGCATTTTTTCAAAACCGTAGAAAAGAAATTTAATTGGAGATAGGCTTTCCGTTAGGTAATGGGCATTGGGGGTAATGATTTAGGAAATATTGTGGTGTCAGCCATGGGACTCAAACTTTTATTCTATCGTTCATGAGATTGTCAGATTAGCCCTCTCGTCTATAATATACCCAGCTGCAAGGAACTAAGTGATTTCATTAGGTGGACCTAGTTGGTGCGATAACTTTCTGGTTGTTTAAGTGCTTTAGGTAAAAAAAGTTAATTAACGATTTTTCTTACAATTGATATTATCTTATTTAAGGTTATTGACTGTTTTGTTTGAATATAGTACAGTAAAATCTAATTAAATTGTTATTTAGCCAATTTTTCCGAGACATTTCAAAGAGTGTATCAAAGTTTCATGTGTTTTTGATGCAATGAAATAAAATTAACAAATTCTTTAAATAAATCCAAATCAAGGTGCGTAATATTTTCAAAAATTCGAAAAAAATAATATTTTGGAAATTTATTTTTTATAATATTTTCTACGTTTGTGCAGGATTTATGAAATCAAAGAAAAGTATGTAATCATCCGCTACTCACTATAAATGTAAAGTACTCAATAACTATGCTACTTCATGTTTGAATTAGTTTCAAGGCAAAGAATAATTTTAAACTAAATTTTTTGAAAATTAAAATTTTCTAAATTTTTTTATAAACCCAGCACATTAAAGAACTTGTGTTACCTTCTTACTTTAAAATTAACAAAAAAGAGGAAAAGGGTATGATGTTCTCTTAAAGAATATAAGTTTAATGTATAATATTTTAAATATTAGTTGAGAGTTATACATATTTTGAACAGTTTTTAATGAGTTCATTGATATGAGTTTATTTTGTGCGTACTTTTTCTCAAACAGAAAAAATAATTATGCGCAATATATTCACTAATAAAGGTAAATTACCTTGTTTGAAATTAAGATGCATGTTGAACTAATAATAGAGTTCATATCTGCTGTAAACGTTATATGGTGAAAAAACAGACCGTATATCTTGAACTTGATTAAAAGTTCAATTAGGAAGCAAATTTGGTTCAACTTTACTGAACTGATAAGGGTTAAAGCAAATTTAAAATGTTTATGGTTTAGTACTGAACTGATTTTTTGAAGAGTATAGAAACTGATAATTTATTACTAACAAAATATTCGTTTTTCGTGGAAGGTGAAAAAAAGTAAATAATCAGTAAATTAATATTAAATGAAACAACGAAAGCATGTACAAGTCTGAAAAGCATATACAGAAATAATTAATGAAGCTAAAAAGTTTTTATTTTTTTCATTTATTATTATTTGTTGGACTACCCGGTATTTCGCAATGTATTATGGTTTAACGTTTGCAGAGCGTAAAAACAGATGCTAATTATAGAGTTATTTATTATTGTATTATTTATTTATTGTATTATTTTAATACTAGCAAAATACTCGTTCTTCTGAAAATAAGGTATTAATTAACACTACGAAAACATACGTGAATGTGAAAAGCATATACGGACACAACTATTAAAGCTAAAATAATTATATTGTTATTTACTATCGTTTGTTGGACTTGTTGGACCCGTTATTTCTACGTTATTTGATTGCGTTCTTAGGCTGAAAAGTTCACCCCATCAATATAAAAATTAACTATATTCAACGTCATTTGGCTCTCGGTTCAATCATGATAGTTAAAATTTACAACAATCATACAATTTTCTACAGTACCTACCACTTTAAGAGATCCGTGAAAAATCTATTACCTCAATTATTAAGTACTTATTTTTAAAACCTATATTATTAAATTTGGTACCTAATAGCACATATCTCCACAATACGAACAACTAACACCAAAATGAATTAAGCATCATTTGCATCAATAACAGTATAGCAATTTTACAGCAACCCTTTAATAGTACCCAAAAAAGACCTTTTCCAGTAATTTTTCGCTTTCTAGCACGCAGCTTTTTTGTATTTCAATTATCTCTGATTTTTATATTTTTTATATTTTTTTCATATTTTTTAGTTGTATAGAAGTAAATTCAAAAGCGTAACTATAATCAAAATAAAAACGTGGTATCAGATAAATTTAGGAATACTCATATTGTGACATAGTCCACATATGCCATCTGCATTGCTTTTGAGCTTTCTTAGCGAAGCGAATAAAAAATAATAAAATTTAAAAGAATGTAAAATGAGCTAATTTTTTTATTAAATAGAGCTGTAAACTAGAAAACAGAACAGGTGTTATTTAGTAAGTAATTGAAAAAGAAATAAAATTCTCTACTGCCCCTTATAACCAATCTCTCAATTCCAGGATTGTAGTACAAATCGTTCTGGAGTTAAACTGTAAAAAATTTTCATAAAAAATCAAAAAAATAAATAAATAAATAAATAAAATAAAAAAATAAAAATAAAAAATCTGAACACTAAAATGGTGGCAATTATTTTATACCAAAGTGGATTTCCAATAAGTGTTCCTCTACACCAAAAATACGAATAGTTCTTGGTGTTAGCGAAAATTTCGGTGTTAAATTGTTGTCACTACTTTTGGTGTTTGGATACACGAAAGTTTCTGACAATGCTGATATTGCTTCCGCTGTTCAAAAAAAAAAACATTGTCTACTTTAAAGTTATTTTTCAAGAAACAAAAAATATTTTGTCTGTAGTTAAGAAAAAAAAAACTACGCTAGACGAATGTTTTTAAGTTATTAAATGAAAGTTTTGAAAAAATAAAACCTCTATAGTTTGTTTTTTTCAATTGCACGAAGTTTTTTAAGTTTATCTCGCTTCGTCATGTGTGTCGGTTTCACAAAATGCTCATATTTGTTTATTTTGACTGATATTTAAACACGTTTTCTTTTGACTAGGTCTTTTGCTGACACAATTCGTAATCGACACTAACTGCGCTCCAAAAGGTGTTGCTGTGTAAGTATGATTACATTTTTCATTCATATCATGAACATGCGCTATTACATATTTCTGTAACAAATTCTAATTTTCTCAGATTTGGTGGAAGCAGCAAAGGTAAAGTGGCCCAAGTTTCCAGTCAGTGGGGAGGTAGGCATTATTCATTCTTGATAATCAATTTTTTTTCTTTCATCGTTTTCACACAATTTTGACATTATTTTATTGTGTTCTAATTTGTATTTTAAACATTTTAATTCTATTCTTTTTTAATCGATTCAAGGTTAAGCGATTTTTCCTTTACCTCACACTTTCTCCTTGTCTGTTTCCATGGTTACGAGCTGTCTTGGTTTTTCCCCAAGACTGCAACGCTTCAGTTAGAAAGATAATATGCTAGCCTGGGAAAAAAGTAACATTTGCGGATTATTCATTCATGATAATGTGTATATATTTTTTTGCGTTTATCGTTTTCTCACAATTTTGACATTATTTTATTGTGAAGGAGAAAGGAAGAATGTGGAGAGGGGAGAAATTACTTAATCTTGAAATGCCTATTCCATATAAAAGTATAAATGTACATCTCAATAATAAAACGTTGAAAACTGCTCATCTGTTAATGATTACCTCAGGTATTTAAAGAAATGTAACATATAGGACGCAGAGCAATTAAACAGATTACATAACTAAATTTTGACCAAATGAGCAAAAGAAATAGATGCATGACAAATAAACACTTCAGAAAGTTGTATTTTAAATTTTTATTTCTAGGTTGAAATTCTTTCGTAATTTATTATTGGTTTTTCAAACCTCTGAGAGCCTTAAATCATATTGCTAAGTATGGAAAATCGCATGAACTGAACAATGCAAAAGTTTTAAAATAATCCTTTAAGTATTTGTTTGAGATATTTAAAAAGAATGTCGAAAACTTAAAAGTGTCTATTCCGTTATTGTAGGGTAGTGCACAGAATGACAAATGTTATGAAATGTTTTTAAAATCTTGAGTTTTCATCCCAAAAAAAAGAATTCTTGAATTTAATACGATATGAATTTAATAATCTTTAATAATGAATTTAATATTTCTTGAATTTAATAATAATTTAAACTCTTCGTGCTTCTTTTATAAATATCTTTTTCAAGTTTATGTTCACTTCTGTAACGTGAACAAATACTTTGACAGTGAGAAGTGATCAACGAGTTGCCAAAATTTGATTCAAATTATCACATTTTTGCATCATTCTGTTGTTTTCAGTTTTTATTTTCTTTTATGATTTTAATCACAAAATGTTCTTTACACAACATCTGTTAAAGTTTTAATTTTTTTTTAAACTTTTAATGCGAAAATTGGGGCAATCAAAAATTTTATTCTGGCTAATTTTCTCTCCAGATTTAGACAGTGGTTCAAAATGAGCCCTAAATTTTGATTTCCAGATTTTCTTTGTATAAAATTTAAAACACAAAGGTGAAAATTTTTCTCCAATATTCAGAATCTTAAAAAGTTGTATAAAACGAAATTATTAAAAATTATCCTAAAATACAATTTTTTAAAAAAAAAGTTTATGACATATTTCAGGATTTTTTATGATTTGCAATCAGTTTAAAAATTATTTCCATCAAAACCTATTTACATTGATTTGTTGTCTAGTTTTAGTAGCATGAAGTATTTAGCACTAATCATGAAACTTCTTTTCTATTCCATTTCAGTTCTATCTACGTCAACTAAAGTACTCATAGTCTTCTATTGTATCATCATTGCTATTTTAGTTGGAATTGGAATTTACAGACTCGTCAAATGGTGTCAAAAGCCTCCTCTATGAAACATTTAATTACTTACATACCAATTTTAAAACTGTATATAATTTTATAAAAAGTACATTTTTTTTGTCAAAAATGTTACTTTTTCTTCATATATTGCATTCCTAACAAATGCTTTATTTTACACTTTTAAATTTTTGCATTACCAATGCTGCATTACCTGGGCTCATAAAAGTTTGTAAAGACTGAGAATATGGCACTGACTTTGATAATTTTCATCTTACAAGGGAAACTAGGGAAGTGTGACTCGCTAATTTTGAAATAAACTAATGGGATGTATGCCTTATGAGGGGATTATTATTAGGGGGAAACGTATATATTATTTAGGGGGAAACATTCGTTTCGGCCCATAGAGGGTCCTATGAGAGATAAAAAATAATTCAACCTATAGAAAAATCGGTATTTTATTACTTCAATGCAGACTATTAGTCATTGTAATTATCTCTTACTCCAATTAATTTTGTGGTACTTTCACGTACTATATAATGCATATTTATTGTCAGAATCGATTTCGAAAATTTTATATATCTGCAGTTTTTCAGAAAAACCTGCTAGGTTAATTTAAAAAAAAAATTGACATCAAACTTTTTAAAATTTTTAAAATGTTTTTTTTCCGAAATGAATTGGAATATGCAGTTGCAAATTAATCAATTAATTAATTATTAATTAATTAATACATAATTAGTTATTAATTATTTAATAATTACTTAATTAATAATTAATTAATAAATTTGTGAATTAATTTATTAATTAGAAAAGTAATTAATTAACCAATTATTACAAATTAATTGGAGTAGGAGACAATTACAATAACTAATAGTCTGCATTGAAGTAATAAAATGCTCGACTTCGCATGCAGGTCGTCTGCAGAGGATCAAAATTGTGATGGCATGTCTTCGGATCATCCTCAGGGATGTTTCCCAGACCGTCGCCAATAGCCCGTCGCCATTAGCTCTAGTACGACGTAAATGAACTACAACAACAACAAGTAATAAAATACCGATTTTTCTATTTATTGAATTAGTTTTTTATCACTCATAGGACCTTCTATGGGCCGAAATGAATGTTGTCTCCTAAAATTATTCCTCGTAAGGCATACATCCCACTAGTTTATTTCAAAATTGGCGAGTCACACTTCCCTAGTTTCCCTTGTTAGTGGGAAAATAATACCAAATTGGTAATTTTCAAAAACGTTTAACACCTTTTAAAATATTTAAGTGATTTGTCTGTTCCAAAACCCAGAAAATTCTTCACAGCAAGATTATATATATGGTTAAAATCATCACATTGCTTCAAGTGTAAGAAGCCTGAACTGTGGATTTTTTTTTATTTTCCTTGGCGACAGAGTTTCAAAAAACAGCGTTAAATATTGTTTGCTCCAACGAATTAGTAAATTCAAGGTTATCCCCTTAAATAAATAAAAATACATCTTTGAAAAACACGAAAATTTGATCATCAGACTTATTGTTGTTCAGATGTTCTGTTTTTTTTCAATCGCCTTTAATGTGGTTGAAAAAAAATTTATTTCTGAA